GGTTTGAAAAAAAAAACGGTAACATAATCAATTTTCCTTCCTCCTTGCAGCGCGCCCAGACACGCCCTTAATTAACCAAAAAAATTACATCTTCATTATATATATATATATATATATATAATGAAATGCATTCAACCTATCGGTGTGAATTGGGCCTTACCAGGCAGCACGGCCAGATTTTGCGTAGGCCTCTTTAGACAGGCACGGGCCAATTTTATAATGTATGGGTTGTGCCTCCACATCTGGGCCAGGGCAGGCCAGGCCTAGACCAAGCTTTTTACATGACAGGCTGCTTGAGCGGCCTGACAGTTTTGGACACTTCTAATTCAAGCCATTCCCTTCTGTCCTTACTGGTGGCCAATAATGTTTTGAAACCCCTAGTTGAAGCCATTCTCATCTCTCATTACTGTTTGCTTACTCTTTTAAAAAATGCTTTCAGATCATAAGAATATTAAACAAAAAAAGAAATGATTCTGGAGGCGTAAACAAGATATATTGAATTTAACAACTATATATCTGTTCCCATACACAAGATGCAGGCCACTGGTCTAAATATTATAACATGTTCACTAAAAACAAGAAACGATGAATGAAGTACAGATGTTGGCTACTGCATGAAACTTTAACATATAGACATCTGAAAAGAAGGCAAGAATATTCGTACATTATTTGAAAGAGAGGATATCTCACTGATTGATATTATTAATCTTGATCTCTAGTAGCTCTTCAATGAGTTCACGGCAGATTGGGCATCTATTAGACTGGAGTCTCAATGTTTTTGCACAGTCGCTGCACAAACACTGAAATGCAACATATTTAAGTCAAAAGAGAGTGAATGAACGTTTGAAATAAATAATATAGAGAATGAACAGTTGATTGTCACAACCCTGCAAAACAAGAGAATAAGCAACAGAGAAAGTCTACCTCCTTAGGAAATAAAATAAAAAGGAAAGAAGAAGCAGAAGAATAACACTCTCTTACATCCTCCACATCTTTTAAGGAAAAATAGGAGTTCATATCCAAAGTTCTAATGAGAAAGCTACCAAGCTAAGACGGTCTTCATATAAAGCACTGGTGGTATAGATAGCATTTTTCTTTCTTAGTTTGAAAGCGCGCGTGCTGGGCAATGGAAAACGTTTGGAAGAATCAAGTATTTATTTTTTCAAAAAGTTTAAGCAGCGGAGGACAACACAGTTCCCACTTTTTGACCCAGGAATTAGAACCACATTTGTAGATCCAACAAGAATTTACCATCATTTGGGGAATTGCATATGGAAATAGTTTGAAAAAGTTTAGAAAAGCCATAGTTCTTAGTGAGCTTGAACTTTTGAAGAAACCTTCATTAAATGTTTGAAATGCCTCGTAAGGCAAGTAGGGCACCCATTTTATACCACTTAACAGGTGGATAGTCCATTAATGCAAACTTGTACTGAAGCTTTAAGAGAGTTTTCTCACCATATGTCGGCATGGTAATATAGCTGTATCCTTTGGTTCAGTCATGCAAATTACACAGTTTCTTCCTGAGTCGTTGTCATTATTACCATGAGAAAGGTTCCCTATTCCATATAACTCACGCAGCTCATAACGAACACCATCAATCCACAATATCTGCTTGACTGTTTTAACATTGAAAGATCCTTCATTGTTTTTCTCCAGGACAGCCTGGGTTATCTGCATATGGGGGAATTGATATTGGGGACGATCATTACTATTGTCGTCACTATAAGAAGGTAGACTAGTTTCAGCAGTTATTACAAGAGGAAATATGTCATCTTTTGGAGATGGATTTGAAAGATCATCAGAGACAAAGAAACCCAGGTCAATGCCCGTCCCAGAAGGCTGACTAAATTTCTGGCGTAGTCCTTTCTGGAAAGGAATTTTCACAGGCACGTATACTTCAGGAAATGATGAAACCAATCTGCAGTTCGGCTCTTCCTTGGCGAAGTACCAAATAGTGATGCTGTTAATTAGAGAGTACAGGAAAAGAGGGATCATAACATGTACAAAAATGAGATTTTTTTCTGTGATTATTCAATATTACATGGATTCATAACAGTGTCAAATTCAAGTTTTGATTGAAGACTAATGTTATATTTAAACAGAAAAAATGAAAAGATTATTCTTATGACAAATTTGGTGTACTGGACACATCAATATATCAAAACTAATATAAATTTGGTTTACACTATAATGCTGCTAATCTGAAATACCATAGCACTACCCTTTGAAGCATATGAATCACAGTTAATACTTCGAATTTAAATTATATTGCAATTTGCAAAACACGTCTCAATCTTCATAAGATGAACTAATAGCCATTAAAAATCATTTTTCCGCTTATAGTTGAAAGACTAAGCTCCAATTTGGTACTGATTAAAAAGTTCAGATTTTAATTTAAGTCAAAGTCAATAATTAATTTTAATCATATATTTCATGGGTCCCACAACTTTTCAACCACACATTTCATCAACTTTTATCAAATTTTATTAAAAATTCGATTCTAATTTCTACCAAACAAGGGCTAACCTTGGAAACAAGCGACACTGCATGAATTTGGTATGACATGTACAGGCACCTACCCAACCAATGGATTCATCTTAGTAATTAAAAGGATAAATGACCTAATGAAATTTTTATAATTTCAGTTTTCTACTTCATGCTACATATGATGAATCTGGTGTCCAAAAAATTACCCAAGTACACAACATTAAGATATGAACTGAACTTATTTTTAAAAATATAAAAACCTTATTCAAATGTACTCCTATGTTTATGTGCTCAATGCAAATTATAAGAGACACACCTACATCCCTGTCAATGAGTATCCAAGTGGATTAGAGGTGTATTAGTTGGATTTTTCATCTTTGCAACCTAAGTATCCTATCGGAGAAACTATGAAGATAAATTTTATTTTCCCTGTGTAAGCATGGCCAAGAAGCATGTTACATGAAGTCTAGTACTATTAATGAGTGCTAGCAAACCTTTTAAATGGGGGATTCATCAAATTTCTGAATAGGCAGATATATTGAATTTTGAAATGCTAATAGTACATTGATTGGGAAGTAAATAAGTGGAGAATCCTATTCTAGCTTTGTTTGAGAAGCAACTGAGTGATATACGGACTTGACCTCAAAAATAAAGCATTGTACGCCATTAAGTAGACTCCAACAAATTTCCAAGGTCAATAAGTAGGACTAGGTCGTTTCTAATATGTTTAATATTCATATGGTAAACTAGTGTGCAGTGGAATATGAATCATTCAAATGGACTCTCATCTCTATCTAAATCAATTATACAAAGAGAGAAAAAGAGCATACGAGGATATAGTTTTGGGTATTGGTTTAACAGAAAGTACTGGATATTGGATACAAATCATATAGCTTAATGTGTCTATAAGGAATAAACATATAAAATAACATATGGTACACTTAATCATCATGGCTTCCACAAGGGTAACTAGGGACATTAACTTCTTGTCCAGTACCTGGGGAAAAAGAAAAATATAAGAAATCATGCCATGGATGGTCACTGTTATGCTCCTAGTGCATTCCATATCAGAGAGAAGAACGATGCATTTAAAAAAATTTATTCTATGGAGGACAACATAGAGACAAACTAAAGAAAGATCAAAACCACCCAAACCGGGGGGGAGGGGGGGTGCAAAAAAGGGAATTCGTGTGCTGCATCAACCTTAGTCTGTGGCAAAGAAGACACTTAAGAAGGCATGTGCAGGTATTGCATATCTTCCAGAAGCTGCATTGCATGGTCTGAAAGGGTGAACAAAAAAATCTGATTGTATAGAATATCAACCGGATCTTAAGAAAACTCCAACCTTTGTTTCTAGACAAGCAGTGTGTTTATCACAGTTATTTGTGACTCCTACGAGTATAAGACACCTCTTGTTTGGAATGTAAGGGTGGCAGTTGCAGAAACAGCCCAATACTCAGGCACTCATCTATCCTCAAATTTTATGTACTATTCTACAATACCCCAGTGTCACCAATCAAGTCGAATCTGTATCCAAGCCACGCAGACCACACCTTATGACGCCAATCAATGAATCATAATAGTGGTATTGTTTTTACATTAAATCACTTCAGCAGCCAATAAGCTCCATATTTATTTCAAGAATGAAATTTTAGATACCCTAATAATCAAGGATCCTAGAGAAGGAAGTTGTTTTTACTGACATCCGTCTGAGTTGTCCACTACCTTATGTGGTATTCTATGTAAGAACACAAAAGGAGACACGAGTCTCCATAAATTTATCTAGCAGTAATCCTTGGAGCAATGTCATTCAGTAGCACAAGTCTAGTTGGCATTACATTACATGATAAGTCCAATTAAATGGTCCCACATTCGTTCATTTAATATAAATTTAATTGGATTTGTCTTGTAATTTAATGTCAACTAGGCTCGTGCTCTAGAACGAGTGGTATTAGGCCCCTGTTTGAGCCCCATTAAAATTCTTATTTTCCTTCTTTTACTCATTTTCAACCACATACTTCAATAAAATAATATTTTCCATCACATCAATAATTTTTCCTTCTTTTTCAACCACACATTCCCATCAATCAACTATTCCAAAATAGATTTTTCCAAAATAATGTGGCTCAAACACACCCTAGATAGCATTATTCGTAATTCTTGCCATATATTTGACCAACCAATTATATATGTCAATGCAACATTATTTTATTGATTCAATAGAAATAAGACCACACCAAAGCTTCCATATAAGTGAAAAAATCTTTGTATTTAAGATAACATCAAGAGATGTGTTCAGTAGAGGAGGATCTTTCTTTTAACCCTATAACGTGGGAAAATATATTGAAACAGAGAATGTGAGAAAGAAGAACAGAACAATACAACTATACAAGGAAGGAACATAGAAAGAGATAATTTGGACTAGGAAATCAATATCAATGCAATAGTCTGCATATACAATGAAAACACGACTCCTGCTTGTTCTTGAAAAAGTCTAATAATAAAAGAAAATAATCCATATAGAAACTTTCTAATATAAACTGATAAGAATGGAAAGGCAATAAATCAAATCAAATCAAAACAAGAAGTCTTCAATTTCAGAATGTGGTCCAATTTGTCATCACCCTTATAAAAATCATGGAAAAAATATTACATACTTATCCTAACAAACATGCTCTGAGTTCTCGATTCCATTCGCTCCTTTTCATGTCATTATGAAGTATAGCATTGGATACAATTAGTTTCACTTTTAATCTAAAGACTAAATGTTGTGCCACCAAAATGTTCTTTCGTAAAGGAATAAAGCATAAGTGAGTACGTAAATTAATTTTCAGCAGGTCAAATTGGTATTGAAATGTGAGCTGATGCTTGATTGGCGTACCTTCAAAGTAGAAGTGGTTCACAATTCTATATCATTTCACTTACTCCAAAGCATTAATTAATTAATCGCAAAAATAAAAACTCGAATGGGAATTACCTTTACGGTCCATCTTTTTCAAGGAAACACAAGCAAGAAGCACATAACTTCATAAATTCTTAGGAACTATAGCATATGGAAGTTGATACTATCTCAACATATTCATCAGCAAGAGAAATGTTAAAATGTATATCTTCAATCCGAAAATGTAATTCTAAAGGTTATAAAAGCAAAGTTGAAACTCCTGCATATTTCAATTCCTCAGATTCTTTGAGAATCGAATGCTATGAGACTAGAGGGACCCTAAGAAAAGACATTCTCTTCATAAATCCTAAGCAAAACAGATCTTTCTGTCGCTGTCAGTGTGTGTGTGTGTATAAACACAATGAGATGCTTTAGATAAATAGATTGTGTAAATAAATTAAGAAAATTCACCTTCCATCAAACATAGCATCAAAAAGAAAAGAAACCAAGCGATGGTCAGGGTTCATCTCATCAACTTCAAGCATCAAAGTATCCTTATGCACGTTCACATCACTTCTGACCTTTTTAGCATGTTGGTCCTCAACGTACGGTGGTGGTTGCGGCGGCGCCACCTCTTGAGATGACGCTGGAAACCCATTATGAAAAGTACCAAAATTGGGCGGCCCACCAACAAAATTACTTGTGTAGGATTGGTAATGTGGGCAGTATAGAGGTGGTGGTGGTGCAGGGAAAGCATGTGGAGGCAGTGGAGGGTGCCCATGATAAGGAGCGTAGTATTCAGGAGGAGGGTGGTGGTGGTGGTAGTATGTGGCGGGGGTGTCGTTTCTCCTTCTATTGGTGCCAAATGATATGCCCATGTTCTGTGTTGTTCGATTCTTGGGCAAAGTTGTATATTTCAGTTTGTGTTTGAGTGTTGTTGAAGGCAGGCAATGGATCTGAGAAAAAGAGGAAAAAAAATGATTTACGTGTTGCAAAAAGTGTACCAACTCTGCAACCACCCCCCCCCCCCCCCCCCCCCCCCCCCCCCCCCCCCCCCCCCCCCCCCCCCCCCCCCCCCCCCCCCCCCCCCCCCNACGAATTTATTTGCATTTGAGGGATTTCTCGTTCTTTTATATTTCTCTTTTCTGTGAAAATCGACTGTGTACAAAGTAGGAAAAAATTGAAATTTTGGGAAGCATCAATCACGGTGGTTTTAAAAAAATCCCAAGCAATTGAGTTGGTACTCAACCAGTGGGTCACAACCCTTTTTGTCAATGTAATATTTGTGTTTTCTTTCAAACCAAAATTACCTTTATTTGATTACTTCAGCCAAAACAAAACAATCAATTAAAAGTGAGTGTTACTCCATCCAATCAAAAATTGATGATCCACCAAGACGACTTGCGATTATAATAGTATAGCCTTGTTGTTGTCACGAGGCAAAATATGACTCGGGTATTCTAGCACACAGATAACAGTCATACCAAAGCATCAAAACATGGTCCAACTCTTAGGATCGTAGGTGCAAAAGAGTATTCGGCGCAAGGGCGTGTGTTATGCCATTAGCCTCATGATCAACAAAACAAACGTCTAAAAAGGGGAAAAATCAATTAGAAGCAAAATAATATTATGTAAGAGGACTCCTTCCTAGACATTAATGGTCGGCATCTTAGCCCCAACGACGACATTGAAATTTTTTGATTCGATCTTGTTAAATTGTAGTCCTAGCTTGGCAAACTTCAATCTCTCCCAAATTGCACGGCATTAAATAGCAAAGAGTGAACCCTAAAATACTTCTTTAATTAATGATGTATTTTTATTTAATTAAACATAAGTGCTGAAAATGAGGTATTTATTAATGAAAACGGGAACAGTCAGTAGTCAAATGTTATAAAAGTAAAATGTTGGGACTAAGTTGACAAAATATTATATTGGGAGCCTACTTGCTACATATTTCAATAGGTTTTGTATTTCCTTACAAGTCACCCGTGAAACACATACAGCCATCTACTACCTGTATATAGTGGAAACAATAAATGATTGTAAGTTTTCTTTACAAGTGACTAGTCACCAACTATATACACTATAACCAAACCGAGAACCTTTATAAATGGAACCATTTGTTCTAAATCGGCGAGGAGATAATTTGTGTTAGACATAGACTCAAGTTTCATAAATGACTAAAACAAACACGTTATAATTTCAATTCATTTCGAGTTTACAGAACTTAAAACCGGTTGATGATAGAAAATGACTTGATCAACTTATAAGAATTTAAACGAAATGATTGTGTTGTATTGTTGGAAATTTGGACAGAATATGAAAGTAGAATTATTGAAATTCGTATATTGGTGTTACAAGGACAACATTCGTTTCGGCCATTATAAGAATTAAGCGAAATGTTTGAGTTACATTGTTGGAAATTTGGATAGAATAAGAAAGTAGAATTGCTAAAATTTGTATGTTGTTACAAGGAGAACATTCATTTCGGCTATTTTTGTTGTACCGCAATGCTTTTGTATAGGTCACTCGCCTCAAGCTTTATATCATAGTCATGTCAAGCTACAGTGTCCGACCTTGATTTGTGTGACACAATTTGCCTTGAAGGGATTCATTGTCTAGAGAGTTCGATGGCGGCAGAGCTACCATGATACCTAGGCATGGACATGTCCCTTAGGCTATCACGACTCTCCTTTGATTGGCTAACGAGGACGGCACTTCTATCGAGGAATATGTTCTCAATCGCTTTATGATGAAATTTTTAGATGACTTCTCCCATAGGCCGAACTGCAGTGCCCACCTACTTGGTAAATTCAATAAAATGTTTTTTCGACCAAGCCAAAATGGTCATTCGAGTGATCCGGCATGGGTTTTCAGATAAACACCAACATAACCAAATACAACCAGCTAGATCTCGATTCTTGTACCTAGAACCGTTTATACTTAACAGAACCCAGTTCGTTTCAATTCCAGTTCGAACACTTTTTCCACCCCAATATTCAATAGAAACACAGAGACAATGTGAATATTTTGATTACCAAACCCACTACCGCATCCCCTTTTACACCTGTTAAATTCCATACAAATGCAGACTCGTAAAATTTCTTTCTAGATAGGCAAAAGTAGAAAAGGACACACCAAACCATTATAAAAAGGCATCCAGTAGGTGATGCAGGAAAAATGCACTACTCTTTTGAAATTTAGTACATGAATAAATGCGGAAATGACTTTACGACAAGAACCCAAAAAAAATTAAAAATTCATAAATTAGAAATTCTTCACATAGGTGACAGCCTGATAGGTTGCTGTAATGTCCAATCCACAAGCTGGCAGAAAGCCAAAAGAATTGTAAAGAGCGATTAATACAAGACTGTGTAACAAAAATACATGTGTATGATATACATTCAGACCCCACCTTCTATAGCTGTCCCTCAAAATATTATCCCTTGTTTTGGCTGAGTGCATCAACCTTTTGTTCAAGTCAAAATCTAATCATTTAAGCTGAAATTTACCGGCCAAAGACCAAAAGTTTACCACTCCGAAATTTCTCACTACACCAAACAAATGTCGTTACATACCAACTATGCATATTAGCATCAGGTCGCTCGACCACATTATCTAACACATAGCGCGTTGAGAAGAACGTGACCAAGCATAAGGTCGACAAAGTATTGGTGCCCAATCTGGCCGTCCCTCCACTTCATTTTTGCAGGAGCACGACCATAGTGCACCCCATCATTGCACCGGTTATCATAGTGCCATGGATAGGTCATATCGAAATCATCAATCACTTGATCAAGGATCCCGTATTGCCTTAACTTATCCAATACTACCCCATTGAAGGCCTCCATCTTATGAGGATTAAATGCAAGCCTTCTAGCGTATCCACCTGTGGTCACTGTAGTCCTGTATATGATTTCTGGTTGCTTGTGCCCTCTTTTCCTCACTCCATCGAGTATCTCGGCCCAAAATGACGCTGCATAGTCAGCCCCGTTTATAAATCTCCGAACATTAGGCCAGAACACTCCATCATGTAATCCTGAATTCATTATCACAGTGTCCGGAACGTTGTTTCCTGAAAAGTATCCCTTCAACAATTCTCTGTACTCTGCATTAATTAACGAATTCAAGCCCTGATAATTGCCTGTAGCATTTGGATTACCATTGAAAATACTTGTGAAACGGACCATTTGGGAGGGATTTTTCGGATTGGTGATGTTCATATCAAATCTTCTTGGGACAGCCTCAATATCATGGACGTCCAAAATGAAGCGCAGGATGTTACGGATAGTGTCACAATGATTCGAATCACCCCACCAGAAAATCCAGCGATCTCTCAAACAATTCCAAGCTTCTTCACTTGAAAACATCTTGAATGAACAATGGGTTGAATATATCCACCCATTACTTTCCAGTAAACCCAAAGGACCATCGCACCATGGATGCTGGCACGGAAAATTGGGATCCTGGCATCTATAGCGCCCATCTTTGCTAATCGGACAGCTATCATTCCGCGCGTGACGAGTCCATCGGCCAGACCAAATATCCCTATTGTAATCAGACTTCTTGCATTGCACTATTTCCGGTAATTTGGCAGAGGATTTCTGGAATTTGATTGGAATCACACGGAGAACCCTGTCAAACGCAAATCTCTCAGGGGAGAATTTCAATCCTTCATAATGTCGGAACAAAAGGATTATAGTAAGATTGAAATCTCCTGAAAAATCAGGGTGGACTTGGAGGGTGAACCCATAAGTGCCATTTCCAAAATCCTTAATGGGAGGCCTAGCTTTCCATGATTCACCCGAGAGATCGGTTTCAAAATAATCACCACCCAAACAATGTGGCTTCCCTGAATCATCTAATGCCTGGAAAACAAATTCATGTATATCACCAGCTGACAGTTCAATATTGTCATGACCATCCAAACCTGGAATAGTAATATCCACCGTTTTTGAATCCCTGCACGGTTCACCCCCCGGGGCCAACCAATTACCAAGAAGCTTTGACGAATAGTTCGCCTCTAGCTCCGATGTAATCCAATCCAGAATTATTGGTTCCAAAGGGCTATGCAAACCCTCGTCCACCTCCAAGGTCGAATTTTGTTGGTTTTCATCGGAATTGACAGGTGCAGGAGCAATTTTAGGACCAAAATTTTCATGGGTTTGTGCCAAACTTTGGTTATTTCGGTTTTCCTGGTATGGATTTTCTAATTGGGGTTCGACGGAAAGATTATTAAAGCTTAAATCTTCATGAGTTTGTAACAAATTTTCAGAACTATTGGGTTTCAATACAACAAAACTTTTCTGAAAAGTATTCACATTCAACCCATCAATGCCCCATGCAATCAAGACTCCAAGAAATACTACCATCATCAGGACCTTGAACCACCATTGAACCATGGGGTTTGACCTCAAAACCCATGAAAATTTTGAAGCTTTCTCAGGCATTTGAGAAGACATACATAACCCACACAAAACAACCTGACAAAATTCAAAAAATAAATAATAATTCTAAGAACAGCATCAAATATTCCCATAAAATACAACTGACAAACACATTATATTGGAAAAATAAAACAATAAGATTGTACGAAACTTACTCTTTAATTTAGATATCTTTCATAGAACAGGCAAATGAAAAGTTAACAAAGCTTTTCAGTCCAGCTGAATCTCTCTTTAATCCAAAATATATGGTGTTACAGAGAAAGAGAGTGGGTTAGGATGGAAGTTTTTCTATATCGAAAGAAGAAGAAGAAGGAAGAAGAACTAACTGTTATTATCCAAAAATGCCCTTGACAAAGCCATGAAATTGCCAGGAGGGTCCAACGCAGAAGGAATGCTATGACGACACCGACAAATATTCAAATAATAGAAAT